TTATTCAAAAGCAATGCCTGCTCTGTTTGAGACGTTTGTGTTGAGTTTCTAGCCTTACAATACAAATCTAATATTGAGTCTCAGGGCTGGCACTGGACTCAGGGTGGGGTGTTTTCTTGGTATGCTGATGCCCCCAACCCAACTAACCAGGACCAAGTAGTACTTCTGGCAGGCCTCCGAAACATGCTTCCGTGGGGCTGCGCTACTTTTTTTGAATTGTGCCTAGGCTTGACTCTGATCCATTCTAGCAGGCCACCATCTTGTGTTACCCAAAATGCAATGCCCTGGCCAATAGATCTAAATTTTATAGCTCAACAGGCTGGGGTCTTGCATATTGTGTAACCAAGATGGTGGGCAGCCGCTGCCTGATGGAAAACTGGTGACTGATTAAAAGCAGCACTGCTGCCCATTGCTGAAAAGCATCTGGGAGCCTGGCAGGGAGAACGGTGAATAGTGGCATGGCTGGGTCTTCAGAGCATCTGACTTTGTTGACTGGAGGCACCGGGCCTAGTGAGTTCATGTAAATTTAGCTCCACCGAGCTTGGGACTTACTCTCCCCTAGTAAGGCTTACTTTACTGGTTTTCCTAGGGTCTGTACAGCAAGGAGGGGAATAGCATTTGTTTTTGCACTTCCAAGAAGCTGAACAGAAACCCCAGTTCAATATGTAGCACTTTTCTCTACGGAACATGCAATTTGCACAATGAATGTAGTGATTAGAATTTCTGCCAAGGTATAGCTATGCTTCCATTTCCATTTACCTCTTTGGATAAACAGCTGAAGACTTCTCTGAAGCCCTTTTTCAGCTTTATCCAGCCCATGGAATGTTAAGACAGTAGACATGGAAGAGAAAGCATGCAGCTTTTAAAAAACTGTGTGTGTAGTCCAAAGCAACAGTGACTTCCACAACTACCAAGGAAATTAAAGCAACTTTTTAAAACGTGGGGGCAGGAATGTCAATGGCACAGAGGCTGGGGGATTATTGCTGCTCAGCAGGTCTTTTAACTGTCCAAGACACATGAACAGTTATATTTCGTAGGTATCCCATGCACGGTAGCTGGGGGGGGGGGGAATGCAGCATTTTACCAAACCCAAAAAACTTAAGTGTGAGAAGATGCAAATTCCTAATACAGAAGTGTTTACTTGAGGGAAGATTGCCTGCAACAATTAATTTGTCGGACTCATCAGATATAAGTGCATCCAAACCAGCCAAGGGACTAGGCACATTCTCCCCCTTTTAAATATATAGCAGGCATCTTTGTAGAACGCAACTTCTGTATAGTGAAAGGCAGCAGGTGACTGAAAAAGCAAAATGCTGCAAGCTATAGTTTCCGAAGTCTCAGGTGCCTCTCCCTTTCCCCTTATCACATCATAGAAGTTTACACAGGCTAAAAGGGAGTGTTTGCAGTTGCCTCCATTTCTCCCCTTAATTCCTGTTTTGTATTGCCAGCTCTTCTGGCCCCGTTGGGTATACAGAAGCAATAGAAAAAAGGGACGACAGCCAAACGTATCACCTCCAAAGCACAAGAAATGCATCGACTGGCTAGAGTTTGCTAGGTGCACAATGCTAACTGTCACACGGTAAAACCTCATCATGTGTATATATCATTGCTGAACTTCTCTCTCCTATTTCCTTATAGTGCCTTAACATTCAGAATGATAACCTGGTTGAAGTAACCCCAAATGCATGCTTGGAAAATGCATCAGCAGAGGCCGATATGAACTTTAGCTTTTATGATTCATTACCTGCTATGGAGAAAGAAGTTGCTAACTGCAGTCCAGAGTACCTGAGCCCTCTGGAAGCTTCCTTTTCCAGCATGCTACTGCCGGAAGATCTTAGCCAAAACAACACATCATGCACAAGCACTGATTTTTCTGAGGATTTCTACTCTTCCTTTGTCGGTGTGAATATGAACACGTCTCCCCCACCGCCAAATTTTGTGGACCAGGCAATTGCTGGCTTTTTAAACGAACCTATCGATCTTTCAGAGTTTGCTCAGTGCAAAGCTTTTAATGGTGACCTTTCAGGAAATGCCCCAGAATGCAATGATTCCGATTCTGGCATTTCGCTGAATGCGAGTCCCAGCACAACATCTCCCACTCATTCTGTTGGGTCATCTTCCATCTCTAGAGATACAGGATTTGGATACAGCGATTCTGAAATGGAAGAGATGGATAGTGCTCCTGGAAGCGTGCCACAGAGCAATGCTAAAATGCATTCATTTCAGTTCTATGCTCCGCTGTCTCCATCCCCAGGACAAAGCGTCTCAAATCCTGAATTGCAGCTCACAAGTGTACCCAAAAAAGAATTGCCTGAAAACCCTGGTCATGTTGAAGCTCCGTTTGTGAAGGACAAGTCTTCCAGCCAACTTGATGCTCATTTCAGCAGAGATGAGCTTAGGGCAAAGGCTCTGTGTATCCCTTTCCCAGTTGAAAAAATAATCAATCTCCCTGTTGATGACTTCAACGAAATGATGTCCAAGGAGCAGTTCAATGAGGCACAGCTGACTCTGATTCGTGACATACGAAGGCGAGGCAAGAACAAAGTGGCTGCTCAGAACTGCCGCAAAAGGAAACTGGAAAACATAACCGAGCTGGAGCATGACTTAGGTTATCTCAAGGATGAGAAAGAGAAGCTCCTCAAAGAGAAAGCAGAAAACGACAAGAGCTTGCAACTGCTGAAAAAGCAGCTGAGCACCCTGTACGTCGAGGTCTTCCGCATGCTTCGGGATGAAGATGGCAAGCCTTATTCACTTAATGAATACTCACTGCAGCAAACAAGAGATGGCACCATCTTTCTTATTCCTAAGAGCAAGAAGCCAGAGACTAAAATATGAAGATCAGGGAGACTAATGTTCTCTCAACAACTATTTTTTCAATTTGTATTTTCTACTCCTAGGACTTCCTAGGATGCAAAATACTTCCTTTCCTCCCCAAGTGACTTTACACAAATGTCTCTTTAGAGTAAACTATATGAATACACTTAAAATCGGTGTAAGGCAAATATATGCACAATGGGTAGTACTTTTATAAGACACTAGTTCCTTTTTTTATATAGTAGCAACTCGACTAGCTCCTGTTCTAGTGTAAATATTTCAGAATTTCTTATTTATATACTGTTCCTATAATTTGTTTTACCTAACTGCATATCAAGGGTGATTTAAGACTTTTAATCCTAATTACTTACAAGACCAATCTTGTTTTCATGAACATTGTTTGATAAAATATGAATGAAATGTTTGCAGTTCCTTGAAAATTATTACTTGCTTTGCTTTAATATGAGATTGAATGTAGTGTTAGTAAACACACATACTAAAGGAGTATTGTTGGGGCTCAGCCCAGCCAAAATAACTGAACACTCATTACAAGAATTAAAACTGTTCTTTCACTGAAAGGAATGGAGTATCAATATGCTTAATTTGGGGCTGGACTGTGTCCTTAAAGCTGAAATTTTGCTTTGCATACAAATGTATGCTCCAAGTAATGCTCATTTTTAGATTTTGTACATTAAAAAATAAACGGCATATACTCTTGGCCTAGATTGTTTCATTAGAATGTGGCCTTACCACAAGGGTTTCCACTTGGGCTAATATACCTGTAAGAGCAGGGGTGGCCAACTCCTGAGAGACTACGATCTACTTTCAGAATTAAAATCTGGCAATGATCTACCCCCTGGACGGGGGTGTGGGGGTGTGTTTCGGTTATTGAGCTTTTTTTAGGGAGATCTACCAAAGCCTCGCAGGGAATCCATCTACCAGTAGATCGTGATCGACCTGTTGGACATCGCTGCTGGAAATCTAATGGGCAAGACATCCAACATGTCTCACCGTGCAACAACTTTTTACTTAGTGGAATGTTTCCTTCTTGCCCTTATTGACTATTGCATGCCCCCAAAATCTGTTCCAGAGGGTCTGTCAACCCTTTGGAGTAGTTTTTAGGAAAGGGAAGCCTACTTACACGATCAGATAGTTGGAAGAGACCACGGCTACAATGAGTCTAACTGGTAAGAAGAAAGTGTCAAACAGTTTTGTTGGTATGGCTCAAGACTCTTAAATCTCAAAAGTCATGGGTTTGGCCATGTTGGGCAATATCCCTACACTGAAAGTTGGCCACCCATTATGAAATGGAGTACAGGATACAGATTTTATTAAGAAGAACAGTGCAGCAGCTCAAACTATCATTGGAAATGGCAGTAGTTACTTAATCTCACTGGAAAGAACATTCCTTACCTAATATCCAGCTATTACCTCTGGTTTGATACTGTATTAGAATAAAAAACGCTAACTGAAGACCAAAGTGGTTTTGAAGAAGCCAAAGTAAGTCCACGTAGGATGACTTTATAAGCATTCAAACTTCAAATGACAGCTATAGCTACTCATGATTATTATTATTATTTAAATGCAAAGTGTATTTCAGTTTCATGGATTTCAAGCACCCTTTTAAACCTTTAAAAGTAGTGCTGTAATTTCTTTAGCTTTAGGGCCATTTTGTATTCAGGAACCTGTTACTAATTAGTTATGATGGCTGTTCATTGTATTGCCTACACAAAGTCTTTCCCAGTTGCTACACACATTTTTGCAGGGGAAAACATGAGTGACACAAATGCATGTCATTCGTATTATAAACATGCAATATTGTATTCCAGAACATTTCCAACTACACAGAATACATGTAGATATCTCTACAGCAACCCCCATCAGGACACTGCCTTGCGGAGCCCTCAATTCCCTTTTTATTATGCGAAAAAAGATTTCATAAAATTTTGTCAGGGATACCCCCCCTTCTCTTTCAAAGGCTGATATTTATTTAGAGTTAAATCAGGCTAGCCAAATCTAGCCTGATGCGTAGTCCATACAACTAAAGGAAGGTTACCAATATTCACTTGAGTAATTAAAAACTCTTCGATTTTAACATTTTGGAAGCTGGAAGGAAATCTTTAGTAAATGGACGGGCAGTGATGTAGAAATGAAGGTCTAATAGCCATACAATTGGAAAGATTGGCCAACTTTCATAATTTATGACACTTTATTGTAAGCGTTTGAACAAGGTGAGTGGGAGTTTACACACTTCAATCACTTTCACCTATCATAGGCTATCGGCGTATTTCACATCATCTTTCAACTTGTAGAGATGGTTGTCTTTGTTCTACCCTGCAAAGTAGAAGAGAAAATGCAAGTTTAGCACATAAGAATGTTAAGGCTAAGGAGTATCCCATCTTCGCCAACTAGTTATTGAAGAACACTGCTCTGCTAGCACTTCCTCTCTCCCCAAATCTACTAAACACCTCACAAACATGCAGCTGAGACTGCTTTGGGACAGTACGTAAGCAAGTTCACCTAGGATTCAGGACTTCCTTTCCTAGGCACAGAGCTGGCACCCTCCTACTAGAGGAGGAAGAAAACAGAAGCATATACACTCACCCCAAATCTACGTTCTGTTGTGTGTTGGGCGGAAAGGTGCAAAATGAGCACACAAGCAGCTTGGCTGAGTCCCTATTTTAGAAAAGAGAAAATGAGCAGAGCTGCTGTTTGCCACTCCGGTGCTGGGCAACGGCAGCAGCAAACTGCAATGTCTAGTGCAGCAGGAGAGGCAAATTAAGAGATGTGGCCTTGTAGCACTGTCTGCTCTCCCATTAAACATTTGCACTACATTTGACACATGTGTCTGAAGACGGGAGAAGTCAACAATTATAAATGTTCCCTGCCAAAGTTCATGGTTGAATAGGAGTGAGAATGTGATGCTGACAAAAGCCTGGGTGCCCAACAGGGCAAGAAGATATGGAACCATGATCCTACATCCATTAGCATACAGACCTAGCACAGATGGAGAATAAGGCAAAGCAGAATTCTATGTATTTATAGAGATACGTCAAATTCAAGACTAATGGGACATTATGCAGGAAAAACCCAACCAAGATACAGTACTAAGAAGCCATTCTTAAAGATTTAGGTTACCTGAAAACCAATTATTTGGTAGGGACATCAGGTACTCAACTTCCAGAAGAAATTATTTTCTTGTCTGAAATTCAGTAATTAATAATATTACCAACAGAAAATCTGCAGTTCCAACAGGTGTGCAAAGGTGGACAGATTTCAAGTTGACTTTATGCATTGGATTTGCCCAAATCCAATTATAGGCAGTGATCATTTAAGGCACATCCAACTGACGCACAAGTCCTTTTGGACCTGGAAAAAGGAGGGCTGGGGGCAGGCTTATACACACTCCACCGACGTGTGCTTTGACCCAGAATGCAACCCCTGCGGAAACGGGGAGTTACCTGTGTACTAATGAACATGAAATACAGTTTTTATTTTAAAAATCTACTTATCATTTAAGTTGTGGGAAAAGATGTAATCTAGTAGAAACCATTTCACTATGTGCAAGGCAAAATCCCAGATAAAATCTTCCTTCAGCAAGCAGTTCACCAGACAAACTACTACACTTCAGCCACCCTTAAGCAATCTGGATAACACTGACCTACCTTTTAGGATTCTTGCGTTACTAAAATGACATGAAACATTTTCTAAAGCTGTATCAGTGCTAAAAGTCACCAGTTATAGCTTCCCTATACATCAGTCAGATGAGAATTTTAATTTTAATTGTGCACTGCTCACATTTCATAGTATGGAAGTACAATGATTAAGTACTGGCACTCACCTTGTTTTTGCATAATTCCTTCTCATCACAGAAGCTGGATTTTCAAAGCCAAGAATACAGTCATGGGCACATCAAAGTTTTATATTGTACTAGAGTCTTACCAAGCCACAGGTTTTCCAACAGGCAAGAAATCCACATCTGGTCAAGCAGAAGTTTCTTCAACAATCTGCAAGTCAAAGAGATTTTTCTTACCTTGTTCAGGAAAGAGTAGCTCTTTTAATTCGTTAAAAGTGTTAGAGACAAACCTTACCTATTCTCATTCCCCTTCCTTTCAGGTCTAAATGCTAGACCTATGACTGGGTGAACTCAAGTAGCTATGACTCAAGGAGGTTCCAACTGGTGAAGAACTCTTGCTAGACTTTCTTCGATATTTCAGCAGTGATAGGCAGTTTTAACTAGCTTTTGGAAAGCTGCTCACTATCAGCATAGTATTTTATGCTTTCACTTTTCTGGAAGTTGAAGCTGGTGCTGTCGCTGCCTTGTCATTCTTTAAATATGCTGACTGGTCCACATACACAATAGGCTGCTGGAAGTCCTGTCTGAGTCTCCTTTGATCCACACTTTGGCTAAGAGGTACATCCTAAAGTCTTTAGAGCTGGTTAATTGCTGTCCTCTGCTTACACTTCTCCACATCAGAGAACTAGGTCTAAGTCACTGGCACCAACAACTGGCAACTTACAGATTGCATGATTAAGAATAGCAGAACAGATTAACACACTATAAAATTGGTTCCCCCTCCCCCCACTGTGTGCCATCAAGGTCCCACCCTCTCCCACAAGAACAGAAAAACTCATCCTCTAGGTTCTGCCCCTACAATCAACAGTAGGCCTGAAAGGGGTGGTTTACATCTACTCTACTCTTCTAAGATGAAATCTGCATATGCAGCTTAGTAATGGGAGGATTCCATTTCACAATACCAACATGATGCCCTTCTACACGTTTTGCCTATTGGATTATAGAACACTTGTTTCCTGTTGGCCAACTACCCAATTCCCACCTTAATATATGCTATTATGATATTACAGTGGTACCTCTAGTTACGAACTTAATTCGTTCTGAGGTCCGTTCTTAACCTGAAAGTGTTCTTAACTAGAGGCGTGCTTTCGCTAATGGGGCCTCTTGCTGCTGCTGTGCTGCTGGCACACGATTTCCGTTCTTATCCTGGGGCAAAGTTCTCAACTCGAGGTAACTCTTCCAGGTTAGCAGAGTTTGTAACCTTAAGTGTTTGTAACTGGAGGTACCACTGTATAGCACTTCGGGGCTGTATCAGTGCTTGACCCTTGTTTAAGCACACTTGTACTTTTTGAGATTTAACCATAGAATTCTATACAACCACCACCACTGTATGCCTTGCACAAGCCCAACATACACATTTGGTTGAACCTACAACAATTTTAGAGCAAAGTTTTATAGTGTCTGATAATCCATTCCTATACTGGAATTGTTTACCTGATACTGTTCATTGGCCTAGAGAAGTAGTAACAGAAGAAAATATCCAGCATCATACTGGCAAGTGTCTGAGTTTCTTCTACTCACTGTGCCCTACTCTTCTGGATGTGTACTGACAGAAAGCACTGCTCTGGCAATAGTTAAAAGAGAAGTCTGATCAGGTTGAGAAGGATAGCCTGGGAACATGGCTGTACACAAATTTGGATAAGTGAAGGAGCAGACCACACACCCCTGCTTATGAATTTTATCAAGTTTTGACCACACGATTCTGATGCATAAAAGTATGGATTTATAGCCCACAATACTCCTGTTAGTGACAAATATATATCATGTTCAGCCCAGACATTTCCTGCTGCTAGATTGTGAACCATTTGGTTTTCACACCACCTTCAAGGCCTACAATCAAGGCATTAGAAAGTGTGTGAAATGTGTTGGGTTTGTTCACAGGTCAGAATATTTATACCCAATTGCAAGGAACTTGAAGGGATTGTGCCTGTGCTGTAAGTTTGTTTCAGATAAGAGAGCATGCAGAAATACACAACGTAGGAAGTATTGACCATTACAGAAGAATCCATGTTTTGAGGGAAGAAATATATACAAATGAAGTTATACAATTAAGCTAAGTAACAGACCCAGGTCATTGGTTTCAAAGTTTTAATTCAAAAGAGTGTGTGCACACACACTTAAATCTGTTTGAGGTTGGGGGTGGGGTGTTAAGCCTCAACAGTAATAAACCTGTTCTGCCAATGCTTAATGTAGTTCCTGTATATACCAATGAAATGGGAGGCAAACTGAATAAAGCTTTAAAATATCTCTTTCAATGCTTATTTACTTATAAGTCTTAGGCTAAGAAACAAAGGCTACAAATTAAGATATGCACAAGCCAGAAGTATCTGGAATTTTCATTTGAAAGTAAAGCTTTTTATCATTCACAAGCACTAGTTTAAATGACTCACTCCTAGTTATACAGCTAAACAAGCTTTAATGCAAACATCTCTTCTCTCCCTTTGCATGTGCAACTCATTTCGTTCGGTTACATATGCAGAAAACTAAGGTTCTTAAACGATTCAGCATTTCTATAGTTTAAATTAATACAGATTATAATGCACTGATTTTTTTCCTAGCAAGAATATACCCTAAAACTACATTTCTTTATTTAAAGAAGTTTCAGTAAGAAAAAACTGAACTACACAAATATTGGAAAAAATTAAAAGTTCCTTAATTATTTTTAATTCCTGGTACCACTACCACCACTACCACAAATTTACAGGGCAATATACCTGATTTATGAAGAAAAGACAAAGCTACAAACAACAAATTAAAAAAAAAAGTCAGGAATGTACATCTAAACACTACATTGCATTAAATCAATAGCTGCACTCTTTGCAAACTGTGGCTATGACAGTCCTTAAGAAGGGTTTCCTGTTTAAGCTGCAGTAACTTTTTCTGACTATGGTTCATCGCTCCTTCTGTGGCAGATTTTACAGTTCCTCTAATGCATTTGGGACGACTGTCTCAAAGTAACCTGCAGCTTTCCTGACAACTCCTCGCTCTCTCCTAAGAACTGTGTAGCCTGTTGAATACAGGATAAGAAAAGGATTACTCTCAGTGAAACGTTGTATAGTCTTCATATACAACAAGTATTTGTAGCATACCTACCCTTATTATGCTACAATTTTTAGAATCTTCTTCCACCATAGCCACCACCACCTCCTCCTCCTGATCCATAGCCACCTAAAAATGGGAACATGGACAGTTGAAATAAATATTTTTAAGGAGCGTAACAGACACATACGTACTTTAATAAGTTATACTTACCACCATAGGGACTGCCTGAGCTTCTGCCACTGAAACTGCTACCTCCTTTCATGGGTCCATAGCTTGAGGCCTGTTGTCCACTATAATTGCCAAAGTCATTATAGTTTCCACTTCCACCGTAGTTGCCTGAGAATAATAAAATGTAAGGTTTGTGCTTATTAGATCAAGAATTATTTGAGAAGTACATTTCAAGTGCACTACAATTCATTCACATTAACTCACCTACCCAGCAGAAAATACACTTTAGTATACAACACGTGTTTCATAACTCCAGATTTACTGTATGAACATAATGGGATTTCAGCTAACTGGACATAATCATGGCTAGGCTGAGTAACTGCAATTGTTCCCAAGAACATTCAAAATACACATGCAAAAATTTATTTCCTGTTCAGTTCTTGCCAACCTTTGTTATATTGGAGAAATAAAAAATGCTCACTCCTTTGCTAAATCATTAAGGGTTCCTGTTCTTTTAATTAACCACATTAATAACTCTAGATACTTAAAATCCTGCTGTGGCAACTTAACCAAGTTCAAAGTTTCTTGAGAGAAGTATGAACAAGACTATTCTTTTTCAAAAAATGATTATCGGACAGTAGTCCAGTCCCAGAAAATGAGACTAGTATTCCAATCCACACTGAAAGGCATTGACTAGCCTTTCCAAAGTTCCCCAGATCTGAGCACTGAACAGATGGATTGGACTCTTTCCTCTACACTCCAATGCCAGCACAGAATGCAGAGGCAGAAAGAAAACAACAACAGTAAATGATTCACAAGGAGTTTCAGGTAAGAGAGGGAAAGTTTGTAGAACCCATTAACATAAAGATTCTTAAATAAATTCTGGGCAATGGAACTAGCTGGCTAGAAAGTTGAAGTTGTTCCCTTATTAGGTTTTAAGGCTTAATGAATGTTTGTATGAAGCAATGGTAGGGAACCTCATACCTGGGCACAAAACACAGTCCTTCAGGCCTCTCTATCCAGCCCTTGGGACTCAGCCCAGGTCCCATTGCTCACTAGCCCTCCTTTCTACCTTTCTTGAGGATTCCGCCTGGCTGGAATGTGTCAATGAGCTCTTTGCCCCTGGCTGGGGGATAGAGAAGGGCATGTGCAAAAAACTACAGGGGTACTTTCCTTTGCACACTTTTGCCTTGGGCTCTGTCCGCCACTGACATGTAGCCACTGGAAGGTTGCTCAGGTGGGAAAGCAAGCCCTCTTTCTATAGATCCCCTGCTCTGGAGTCTTGTTACCAGTGCAACTCTATAGTTTAAAGAAGACATCCTATAAACCTGGCCTGGGGGGCGGGGAACCATGAAGCTTTCCCATATATCTTTCATACCACTGTGATTTCAAGGGGTTAGAACTTGGAAGTGGTTTTCATTTTCAGCTGAAGTTTACACTGCACAACATTTTAAAAACAGTGACAGGCTAAAGGCCTCAAGCTTGTTATCCAACATGAGCAGATGGATCAACACAATGTACTTCAGGATTCTTACCACCGAAGCTCCCCCCTTCATTGTAACCATCATAGCCTCCACCTCCTCCGCCATATCCACCACCTGGGGTTCCATAGGTCGGGCTGCCACCGTAACCTCCTCTGCCGCCGTACCCAGGACTACCTCCATAGTTCCCACCTTGAGAAAGATCAATAGAAGTGACAGAAATGTGAATATTTTGTTATGAAACGACATGATCTAAACACAAAAGTAACTGGGAACTGTAAAGCAGTATCCAAAAAATCACCAATACTGCATGGAGGCCAACTACTACGAAAGGCGTATTATGACTTGGTAATAGCTACCAATCAAGTCATCCCAATGGAGAAGTCCAAATAAAATCAATGACCTAGCCACGACTGTCTAAGGATTTGTAGTCACAATTTGCTGTTTACAATCAATGGAAACCATTTCATGTCCATAGCTGAAGACTGGTTGCCACTGAGCATGATTTATCACTTGATTACTGGAAACTGCCACATATTCCAAGTGCGAGGACCAGAGGCTCTATCTGTCATGGGTCATTCAAGCAGCTTGAGGATCACCCATATTTTGGTTATTTATCCTGCTCTGAGAAGGCTTTGTGCATACCCAACTATATTTTGGCTGCAGTCAATAATGCAATTCCAAAGTCTCTTAATAGGTTACATACATTTCACAAATCTAAAAATAATGTTTAGATCCTGAGTTGCCTGTCCATTTACAGAAGAGAATCTGATCCAGTGGAAGCTCTTACTAATAGAAAGAGCGAGCGGAAGGGGAAAGTGTTTGCGAATTTCACCAGTAGCCCTCTGTGCCACACCTATGCAACTTTTATCGGAGATTCCCCAACTACCTGGAGCACTTTTTTAGGGGACCTCCTTCCCTGCCCCCAGGGGTGGTGGCACTCCCATGAGCAGAATTTTGTTCACAGGAACTTAGGATTCATGACACTGGATTAGATCCAGACTGGGGCACAATCAACTGTCCTTCCAGGTGGCAGGGCTTTGTGGAATGACAGGGAAAATGCATCTGCAGCCCTGCCACTTTTTGTGGCCAAGGTGGAAGGTGGGGTGGGGAGACATTCCAGGCTGGAAAGGCAATTGGGCCTGACAGTATCACATGACAGCAGTGAGACCAGTTTGGGATCAGTGGATCCTGGCTTGTCTCAGTCCTATTGCCTTTATTGGAATGCTGCATTCCAAGACCTACCACTGGCTAATTAAATGATGTATCTGAAGAAGTGTGCATGCACATGAAAGCTTATATTCAGAACAAACTTAGTTGGTCTCTAAGGTGCTACTGGACATTTTTATTTATTTATTTCGACTGTGTCAGACCAACACGGCTACCTACCTGAATCTAAATGATGGACAGCCTGCCATCAGCTGCCCTGGACAAGTTTGGTGATCACCCAGTCTGATATAAGGGTGTTTTTTTTAGTCCCATGGGATAAGTTAATCATGACTTAAAAGGTAAAGGGACCCCTGACCACTAGGTCTAGTCGTGGCCGACTCTGGGGTTGCGGCGCTCATCTCGCTTTATTGGCCGAGGGAGCCGGCGTACAGCTTCTGGGTCATGTGGCCAGCATGACTAAGCCGCTTCTGGCGAACCAGAGCAGCACACGGAAACGCTGTTTACCTTCCCGCCGGAGCGGTAGCTATTTATCTACTTGCACTTTGACGTAATTTCGAACTGCTAGGTTGGCAGGAGCAGGGACCGAGCAACGGGAGCTCACCCCGCCGCGGGGATTCGAACCGCCAACCTTTTGATTGGCAAGTCCTAGGCTCTGTGGTTTAACCTGCATCCCAATCATGACTTAAGAGAACCCAATTTCTTCTAATACTTAGATTGTCCACAAGTTGTCAGCTTCCCTTTCACATTTCTCACATTAAGATACATCAGGCAGATCTAAGGGACTGACACCCCTCCCCCCACAAGTATAATTGAACTGGTATTAGATTCTTACCATCACCAAAGCCATTGTATCCATCACCACTCCCATAACTTCCTCTGCTGCCACCACCACCACCACTTCCGCCACCGTAACCACCTAAAATCAGAACAAAAAGTGTAAGATACAGTGATGCACTGTAATTCAGGGTAGTATTTTTGGAGGGGGGTGGAGAAGCAAGAACAGATGTTTACCTCTGCCACCAAAACTTCCTCCTCTGCCATAACTTCCACCACTGCCTCCAAAGTTCCCACGGCCCATGAAGTTGCCTGAACTGCTTCCACGACCTAAAGAATAAAGAGAGCGAATTATTAAAATGCTTGTAGGCAGTTATCGCCACAGGCTGTGCTATTATGTAACAAACTCACTTCTTTGTGCAGTTGCCGTCTGCATTTCTTGCTTGGAGAGAGCTTTCTTCACTTCACAGTTATGTCCATTTATAGTGTGGTATTTCTGAACTAAAAGAAGTTTTGAAATGATCCTTATTATAAAAATGCACACAATTGAATAAGCACTTATGCCATATTATTCAGAAGGTATTTTCACAGGAGCAGCAGTATTATTTAGTTTTATTTCCTCCTTATAATCAGGAAAGGAAACTCTAAAAATACCATAAAACAAAAGATACATAGCACAAAGAGCTCAAGAAAGGAAGTCAGGAAAACAGTGGGCAATGAAGTTTGTTTCCTAGATCTTTGTGGGCAGAATATATCATAAAATGGATGCTCAGCATCCCTCTCATCTCACCTCTTCATAAGGAAGGAACATCTCTGGAGCCTAGAAATTATTTGGGGGGAGTGGGAGAAGGAAAAATTCATGGGGAAAAGAGCTCCTCAGAGAACAAATGACTCATGGAATCCAAGCAGTGCTTGAATGATAGGGAAACAGTAGGAAAGACCATAATGAAATAAAAAAGCTTCCCCTTTCTGATTTTAGCCGATCGTGTCCTCCATAGACCTCCATTGCGTGGTACCTGATGGTCATTTGCGTTGGACTCTTTCCACTCAACCCAGGTGCGCTCATTTTCCTGCTGGATTTCCAAGAATGTGCTTGCTTTGGACCCAAGGTTCTTTAGGATCCTAGCATTGTCCAGGCTATATTTTAAAGCAGTTAGCAAGTCTGTTGTACCCGGCTCTTAAGTATACTCAATTAGTGTGAAGGATGCTTGAAACCTGGGGGTGTAGCATGAAATTCTTACTTGCAGGAGAGAGAGCATGTGACCAAACCAAGTGGGAGGGGGGAGGAATAGGGACAGGTAGACAGCCAGCTAGATCCTTACAAGGGTCCCAGCAAGGGAACTGGATTGATTGAGTAAAACAACAACAAACAGTACAGGCTGGAAACTGGACTGTCTTTCTCAGCTAGGCACGTAACTACAAAGACATGTTAGAAAGATTCAGGCAGGGGAGGGGGATTGAAGAGAGGCTGGGGGCAAATCATGCTCCTCATGGTCTAAAATTGTAGGAAAGCCATCACACAAAAAAGTTCAGGAGAGAAAAGCATCCGCCCCCCAGCACTATATTGAGCTTTAAAAGGGTAATCTTTTAAAATATATTCAATTTAGTAAGAAAGCAAATAGGAAGTCTAGTTCTTACAGTAATTTTTTTGTTCACTGGGAGAAAGTTCCATGCATCAGTAGCTTAAAAGAAATATAAAAAGGTTGCACAAAAGGAAAGCATTACATACCAACAATTTTGTCGACTGTATCATGATCATCAAACGTTACAAAGGCAAACCCTCTTTTCTTTCCACTTTGTCTGTCTTCCATTACTTCTATGGTTTCAATTTTGCCGTATTTTTCAAAGTAATCTCTTAAATTATAGTCTTCTGTGTCTTCTTTAATTCCTCCCACAAATATTTTTTTCACTGTTAAATGAGCACCAGGTTTCACAGAATCCTACAAAATCACAAGTTACATTTAGTATCTCAACCTTCCAAGATGGTGCCATGCCTAAATACTTACAATTGTCTTACAAAAAGATTTGCAAATGATTAAAAGTTCCTACAAATAAATTCAGTATATATACTTAAATATTCACTTACTTCTCTAGAAACGGCTCTCTTTGGTTCCACCACACGCCCATCAACCTTATGTGGTCGGGCTGCCATAGCAGCATCTACTTCTTCCACACAAGAATAGGTCACAAAGCCAAAGCCTCGGGAACGTTTTGTCTGTGGGTCTCTCATCACCTTCAAGAAAGTTAAAGCATATAACAATAATTTAGGCACTGACTTTTGTGAATGCTGCAAACCTGTGCATACTTACCTAGGAGTAAGCCCCACTGGAAACAGTGAGACTTTCTTCCAAGTAAGCACACATAACATTGTTAACAGTAAACTGAATGTTATGATCACTTACCACACAATCTGTAAGTGTGCCCCATTTTTCAAAATGTTCTCTTAAACTATCATCTGTAGTTTCAAAGCTCAGGCCACCAATAAACAGTTTTCTCAACTGTTCGGGTTCTTTAGGATCGTAGCCCTGAAAGAAGATAAGTTTCAATATGCTATACGAGATTAGTGCTATTGCAGCGAAGTCCACCCACACAATTCACAGTAACTTACTGTCTTATCACACTTCACTGCGATTAGGTACTATTATACTGCTTTGCTGTATTTTTTAATGAAAAGTGAGGTCTGTAAATATTTAAATAAATAATAAACTCAATTGGCTCACAGTTCCTCTCTCGGTACACTTCTACATAAACAAGTTTAAAGGGTGCAAGGCAGATTGGGTGCAAATCCAGGATTTTGTTACATAGTGTATAAACAGTTCTTACAGCCTCATTCAGTGCATGTTTACTCAATAAAGTAGCCATCCAATGCGTCCTAGGCAAGTTTATGGAAAAGGAATCCCATTATGTTCAACAGTGCTTACCCTCAAGTCTGTCTTAAGTACAACCCTCTACACATTTACATGAAATTAAGTCCCACTAGACTCAATGGGATTTTGGAGCAGGCATGCAAAGGTCTGTGCTGTTAGTGTGCTAGAGGCAGCTAGGATAAGGACATAAACTTCAACTAAGAATCTAACACTTTCATCAACTGATGTCTTTGGTCTGTGCATAAAAGAAATGTTGGCTATTTCAAGTTAAGTTAAAAGGAGTAACAAACAAAAAACCTTTAATGCCATGTTGTGAACTTCAGAGGATAGACAACTCTAGCACAAGTTGGCTAATCACTAAACACATCAACTAATGGTACTTATAATTTTCTACTTACCACACCTAACGTCTCAACCCCCAGATATTTGTTTTTTGCAGGAAGAACTAAACTTTAGGCTACACAACACGAAAGAGCATTACAAAGTTAATGCTTTGTAAAGTTCAGAATAATCTGCACACAACGGAATAAGAATGTTGCTGCATTTTTTAAATAGCCAACTGCATTGCTTATGGCTCAGAAACACACCATTGCACTACAAAACAAAGGTGTCCTCTGTGCATGGCATAACTGAAAAAGTTTCAGGAGACACAGGATTTGTCCCCATATAGATGAGTCCTAATGGAATACCCATCATTCCAAAGAATAGATGGAAGTATTTCAATTCTAAGAAACATAAGGAACAAGATGTTCTTACCCATTTTATGATATCACTTTCTCGTTTACACTTCATGTACCAAGGCAGGGACCACCAATGTGGTACTCATGGAGCCTAGGGTGCCTTCCAGTATTTCCAACGGCACCCGCAAAAGGTCTCAAGAAACATCCTCTAAAAAATCCACAATGCCTGAGAGACTCTTTGATCTTTCTGCTCGGTTCCTCTTTACTCAGTCTCTCCTACATTGTACACCCCCCCACCCCCAATACACATTTCATTAGATGCCAGGGCTGGACACTCACCCCTCCCTTCCCTTTCAAATAGAGTTTCTCTCTGTGACTGAGCACAGCAGAGACTGAAGAGGGGCATGCCTGCCCCATTCTGTGGTCATCTTTTTCCTGCTCTTTCAGATGTGGCAACCATTTTGTGTTATGCTGCAAACTCCATTGTATCAGTTTTGCTATGTCGCGCCCCCATGGGAACCGTTTTGTGACGAGCACCCAAGGAACTTCGCATTAAGGTTGCATAAATAATGTGTTGAGAGCTATTATTTATAAAATTATGCCCCTGCTGGGAGAAGTTCCATACCCTTCCCAGTTCCTCTACACACACCCAAACCAGGGAGGTGACTGACATCTCTGGAACTGGTGTAATGAATTTTATGGGGCATGAAAATAAAACCTCAGGGAAGGATGAAGAAGGACAAGAATGCTGCTCTGCCCTCACGTCTCCCCTGCTCATACAATTCCAGGAGGGCACTGGTAATGGTGGTTCATTTGCCTATGGTTCCTCTTTTAAGCTGCAACCTCAGGTGCTTTAGTTTGCAGGTAGAAATTACATGTTTTATTACAGGTGATGTATATGAGAGACTAAATGAAAGCCTAATGTTAAAGTCTTCAAACGGAGGAGCTATAATTCCAAGGAACAGAAAAATATAAATGTTTCCTTTTCTTTTTTATATACTACACTCTCACTTCACAATGTGTTTACTTTCTCCCTCAGAAGCAGGTTAGATGCTGCAGGAACTCCCTAATATCAACAGTATTTTTAACCATCGCTCCTTGAAAGTAGTACATTTCTCTGAATTAAGCTACTGATTCTTCTGGGGAGACTCCAAACTAAGTAACAGATTTCCCTAAATTATATTATATTTTGTCCCTACACAAGAGGCTTAACAGCCACATGTTTTCAGAGAAACAAATACAATGTTCTGCAACAGACTTCTTAACAGACGCCCACAGCATTCCTAATTATTAGTGGAGAAATGTATGCCTAGCTAACACAGTTGAGCAGAAAAGCATAGCTCACATCGCCAATTCTACAAGACTTTAATCTTTCCCATCATGGTTTTTATGGCAACTATTCTGGAATACTAGGGGGCTTCTAGGTAAAACCTGAATTATGGAAGCTGGTTGCCAAATGGACATGGTATAAATTGGTCCAAACCAGAAGACAGAAGGTCACAAATTCTGGTTATCTTTAGTAGCCAAGCTGAAGCTTTGTGGTCATCTAGTCTCTCCTTTCCCATGAAACATGCATGTTTACCAGGAAGCAAGTCCCAATGTTTTCAGTGGGGCTTAAATTGTGCAGGACTACAGCCTTAGTCTCTGATCTCCTGCTGGACCTCCAGATGCAAGGTTTGACAAAATGGCCATCCTCAACCTCCTTACTTGGGTGGGGTCTTGAGGCTCTTTGCAGCTTTTGATTTCTACTACTGAAGTGTCCCAGCCCAACATTTCTCTTCAGAGCTGCTTTGACAGCAAGCATCCAAGGTGTTCCTTACATCTAAGTCACCCACAGCCAAACATTCATGCTTGGAGTTGGGAGAGCAAGGTTGGGATCTTCCTTCTTCTTATGTTCAGAACTCTTATGGGGATGATACCCACCCCAGATCCAAGCTAGAGAGCAAGGAACGGGCGCCACATCTCCCTTGCCAAAAGATGAGGGCAGCTAGAAAAAAACCTAAACTTCTGGTAAGTTCCCATAAAGCAGGACCTTTGTCATGATGGACTCATTGCAAAATGGCAGCTAGCTTTCCCTTGTTCCTCCTGCCTTCCACAAACAGGATGTCTTTATATCTTATGCATTCCATTCATCTGTGGGCAGTTGGTGGATGGTGCTGCCTCACAGTAAGATCTTGTGGTTTTTTGGAACTCTACAATTATACAACACAAAACTAAAACCATAACCCCATACATTACAAGCCACCATTCAGAGTTTGTAAGAAGTCATTGGGGGGGGGCATTGGAGAAGGGAAATACATGGATTCTCAAAAACAGCTTTATTGCTAAAGAGCTCTAAAATATTGCCCACTACAACTGGTTCAGAAATTGATCATCCCCACTCCTGGCAGCATCTGGCCTTGTTCTCAGTCATATGGTAAACCTATGTTTGGTCTGACACTCTTAAGATTGCAGACATGACCTTCTATGACGTAATGCTCCTCTGCTTTGAAGACTATTGAACACCTTACCCCCAACACACTAGTTTTCTATACTGAGTATCTTTTTATGAAGGCGTATCCAACAATGGATGCAGTCCGAAATTTCTAAATCCTAATCAACAGGCAATACTCAGTCCTTGCTCATTTCTGTATATTGTATTTCTGGAGAACCATTAAAAGCTTAGTAAAATGCCTGTTCATAGAATTTGATCACTTTTATACCATTATAGACACAGCACTGCTGGTTTGCCAGTTCAAGACTTCATAGTAACACTCTCAATATGCATAAGTATTAAGTTGGAAGCTATTATAGAAATCACCAACTAGTGTGGCGAATGAAAAGCATAATACATGCGTAAGAGCCAAGCAGAAGAGAAGAATGCAATGTAGCGTCTGAGCAAACACAGTGTTACCAAAGCAGCAGAAAGCAAGAATTCTCTGTTTACCCATGTAACAGAACTAGGAAAAAATAAAGTATTCCACCTGTGAAGATCTTCTTCCCCTCCTCTTGTAATCTTCAGCCTCTCTCTCATCTTTACACGCCATTTTTGGAGAGCGTTCTGACTCAGTTGCTCCTTTTAACCTAGATAACAAGTAGCACGAGTAATTTACCCGTTCCTAAAAGTTTTTACTTTCTTACTCTCATACAAATAAATGGCTTATTTTAGTGAAGCAAGCATATGGGAGCCACTTTAAAGGGATGGTACTGTATGAGAGAATGAAACAATGTCTTTAATCTCAAGCCATTTATCCTGAAATATGGAACTCATCTGTTTGCACCCTGAATTGCAAAGCAGTAGCTAGCAAAAAAGGGGAACAAATGCCTGAATAGGTCAGCCAGGCATATAACCTGACAGTATCACTGGAAATATATTACTATTTAAAAACCCGACAGTATCTTTATTTATTGTGGAAGCCATTTCAATAGCAAGCCAATCAGACACTGTTCAGATGTGTTTAAACATGCTTTAGAGTACCTGAGATTAGTTTAAAGGCAGGTCTCTGTGCTTCAACCCCTATAGTCCACTGACTGAAGGCCTGGTGGAGGAGCGGGAAGGAATCAAGAGCCCAGTCTCCCTTTAACAGCCAGCCAGCGCCCTTTCTCTCACCCCTATGCCAGTGCCTCGGCTCTTCCGCCTCTCCCCCTCATTGTGCTGTCTGAGTCCACCAAACCTGCCTCTCCATACAAGGCTTACGTCACAGCTACTTTGCCTTCAAACCTGGCGCCTCTCGTTCCTGCGAGACATCCGGGTCCTTGAAGCAGAGGCGGCCTTTTTTACTAGGCCAGCGGCTTAAAGAAAGGGGTGGGAGGGATTGACGTCCTTGTTGCCCTGCTTACAGCTGGGGTATCACTGAACCCACAGTTCTGATCCTTGATATAGATTCAGATATCTATCTCACAGCGATGGCCATGTTGTTGCCTAGATGCGCCATTTCCTGCTTCTCACAGAGAAGCAATAATTTAAAAATCCCTCGGCAGGATAAAGGTGCCCATAACAACTCAACAGAGAAGCCCCCAGTTTCGGGCACTAGCATGTGCATTGCCTTACAGAGTGCCAGCAAACAGAGGCACTGCTTATCTTTCTAGCCTCATGTCCTATTTCCTGTGAAACACTACATTTAAATAATTAGCCCTGCCAATGCAATTCTCCCCATAATTCAGGTTGGAGAGGGGCTGGCTGGGAGTGTGATTTAGGACAGCCCTCCAGTGTTTCACTCCTCATAATTGCAGGCTGCATTGTTTTCAACAACCCTGCAGTGTGGTCTGGTGGTGTTGCAAAACAGGGTGGTGGATACAGCCCAAGTTGGACAGAAGTGGCTTACAACAAGCCTGCAATGTAGTTCATTGCAATTATGCTACTATTGCAAGTTGCGGGGCTGTGTTAGGTCAAATCTAGCAATTATGTCCTCCATTTATTTGTATGCAGAGGGGGTGTAGTTTTGATCAAAAATATCAGCCCCCACCTGTTATGCTGAGCACGGACATTTATCCTTCTAAATTTTGCTTTTTTGTAGGGGATAGCTGTTGCCAAACCAGTTACATATAAATAACGGAAGAAAGAAATGGCCAATTAAAGCAAGAAATTCAAGAGGCCTTCTCTGAATCCTTTTATAACTCAAGACAGACAGTAGCTTCTACTGAAGGGGTTCAACACCTCACACTTGGGGTCCCTTCCAACTCTACAATTCTATGACCCAGGTCCCTAACACTCAGCTTAGATAAGCAAAGCTATAGAGAGAATGCAAACCCTGAAACAGTGCAAAAAAGCAAGCCCCAATACACCCTGCATAGCTCGTTTCAGCAAGAAGGCCAAGGAGAACATTAGTATCATGAACAGCATATAGTTCTTGTTACAGGTGCAATACAAAGCCCTTTTCCTGCTACGGGTAAACAGGATTAGGCAAGACTGCTAAATCACATAAATAATACTTAGATGTTTCAGAAGGTTATTTATAATTTTCATGTACAAAACAGCAAGTGTTATACCATCAAGTGCAGGCATCCCCAACCTGCGGCCCTCCAGATGTTTTGGCCTACAACTCCCATGATTCCTAGCTAACAGGACCAGTGGTCAGGGATGATGGGAATTGTAGTCCAAAATATCTGGAGGACCAAAGGTTGGGGATGCCTGATCAAGTGTTTCTGCAGCTTAATAGAATAACAGATAAAATCTGTATGTCAGCTAGAAATTTTAAAAAACAAAAACCAGAATGCAATGTAGAGCACAACATTGTTATAGTTTTTTTGAAGCAACATGTGTTTGACATTTCAAGTCTACATGTGTACAGGTTTTAATCATGGATAGTTGTCTCCAGACTTGCAATATATTATTTGGCATGTCATCATACAAAAATACTTGTTATACTTTAGTTCAGCATTGGTTTGAGGAGGACTTTCATTGAAGCTACACAATCAGGTTCAGTTTTAATTAAATCTAATTTAAGATTTCAAGGTCTGGAAAGTCTTCTCAGATCCAATCTTAAAAAGATATTTTATTCACATCCTTATGTTGATTTTTTGGCTACAGAATGGATATAATAAAAATTAAATTGGAACCTTATGGAGCTTTCTCGCAAGTAATTCTATCAAAAGCATAGGATAGAATGAATTTATAAAGGGGACTCATCTACAAAACTGTAATCACTCAATGGGGTGTTGAATCCATTACTTTCGTTCAGAATTCAGCTGCCAGGCTTTTGACCATACTGCCAGAGAAAGATAATTAGCTAGATAATGTTATTAAAGAGGCATTTGAAGGCCTGGTTGTTTGCATGAACCAGAAAACTCCAGTCACTGGCTTTAGTAACAGCCACCAAAATACTCAGCAAGACAGACAGAATTAGGAACAGCTACAATTCAAAATCAACGTCAAACCACCAGTTATTCAGAACTATTTGGGGGGGGGGGAGAGAACGTGTTTTCATCTCAAGCACCATTGGGCCACGTGGACAAGTGCAAGATATCCCATAATATTATTAGAACTGAAAGCACCCGAATAATTGATTTATGGGAGGCAGTTAGTCTTAGCTGTTCTGCTGCTGTGGAGGAGGAACTGGGTGCTTTTTTTTGTTAACTATTTTATTTTCATTAAAAAAAAAACCACACAGGTTATGCAGCTAAAAGATATAGCAAATTCTAATACATTTTTTTTGGGGGGGGGTTGTCCTCAGCCAGGTTCTCAGGATGTGTTTCGTCGTCGCGCTCAAGTCAGTGGGATTTTACTCGAAAGGTTATCCTTTTAAACTTTAAAAAGGCGAAAGCTGCACAAGTGGCTCGAGAAGTCGAATGAGAACCGGCGAGACCATCGAGTGATAGGCACTTGGATCAAGTCACGGGTTGTAATTTGCGTATATATATATATATATATATATATATTCAAGCCTAAGACAGAGTTGAAGGAAGGATTTTGGTTTGGGTTCAACTTAGGAAAGGGCCTCCTGCGACTACTCTCGCTCAAACTCGAGCCTCTTTCTCCACAGGGTTACAATGGCGCCCAACAGAAGCCTCTCCCGCCCAACTGCCGCCGCCGCCGCCCTCTCGCGCCATTTCGGATAATTAGCTGTTTGCAGCTGGATAAAGCAAGAACCGAGGTGGTTGGAAGGGGGGTGGGGTGGATGGGGAGAAGGCCAGGAGCCGAGCCAGCCAATCACTCTCCCTCCCGCGAGCCCCTCATGCGCCGCGCCACGCGCCCGCTCCCTCTGCAACCCCCACCCACCCACTCTCACGCCCGCTCCGCAACCGCCGTTGCAGGACCCTCTCCCTGCCTGCCTTCCCGCGCGGCGGCGGCGCCGACAAACGTTACCTCCATTTTGTGACTGGATTTAGCCTCCTTCAGCCTCAATATGGAGCCGAGAGGAAGAGGGTGGGCGGGGCGGGTCAGAGGAAAAGCGGGGCACGTGAGAGGAAGGCGGGCTCGCGGGGGAGGGAGGGAGAACAGCAAATAAACGGGCGTTTAGCGGGAGTAGGAGGGGAGGCGGGCGCGCGTGCACGAGCGCGGAGCGTTTAATGAGGGCGCTCGAGACGCGGGGGGGGGGGGGCGAAAGCCGTGTTTCGTGCTCGTGCCTGACCACGAGTGAGGGCCGATTCCGGGTTGTGGGTGGGAGGGAAGGTCCCTCACCAGCCCTATCACCACCACCCACCTTCCCTTTGCCTCAGCCCAGTCCTCCCCAACGGCGCCGCCGCGGCCAAGACAAAGAGCGCGCTGGCACGCGGGACGGGATCGCGCGCGCGGCGACGGCCAGTGAAAAACGGAGGGCTGACGTGTGGGGGGGAGGGGGAATGACAGCTGACGTGGCTGCGATGAAAAGCGCGCGTAGGCAGGCCGGGGTGCGCGCGCGCACCCGCATAGCCTCTCTTGCCTCTTTACCTCAGGGACTCAGGAGCCCCGCGGTGGGGGCGCCAGTTGTTGTTGAACTCGCCCATTCCCGCCAGATTTGGCCCAGCGGCCAGGGATGATGGGAGTTGTAGTTCAACAACGTCTGAAGCGGCGACGGGGACGCTGCCTTAAGGCCACCCACTTCGAATATATAATTGATCTGTAGAAAGGTCTGAAAATAGAGGCGATGGATGCGCTTTTGTAACACACAAAAAACCCACACACCTTTATTAATACAATTTAAAAGAGAGGAGGAAGGTTGCTCAACCGAGTTGGAGCTGCCGCTTCGTGCGGCCCTGATGGCTCCCCACAAATAACATCATAATATAATGGTTGTAGTTGTTTAGTCGTGTCCGACTCGTCGTGACCCCATGGGCCAGAGCACGCCAGGCACTCCTGTCTTCTACTGCCTCCCGCAGTTTGGTCAAACTCATGTTGGTAGCTTCGAGAACACTATAATAATATAATAAGCGCAGCTGAGTGAGAGGCCGCCACCGCCGCTTCCATTTCCCCCCGCGCTGTTCTGGGCTGCATTGGAGACCCAGCCATGGCGCCTCCCAGAGTAACGATTCGAAGCAGCGGCAGCTGTTTACTTGCAGCCGCTAACTTGCCTGTTTTTCGTGGGCACGCGAGCAGCAGCAGATGCTTTGTTGCGCCGCTTTTGCCCCGGAGTTGTCTTGAAGAGAACGCATGCGGTTGCAGCGCGGAGGAGGGTCTCCCACCACCCAAGAAATGCTACCATCTCCTTGGGGTGCTTCAGCTGGCCGGGGCCCTCCTGAGTCGCTGGGCCTGGCCGGTTCCTCTGCAATGCTGTCTGGACTAGAAACCTGTAAACTTTATACCAAAAAACACAATTTCGAGGTGTACAAAATCATGGGCGTAGCTGTGGGGGTGCAGCTGCCTCCCCTAAATCAATACAAATCTGAGCTTCTGTCTCCCCTTAACAATAGCCTGCCCCCCGCAAACAAAAATTCTGGCTATGCCCATGTACAAAATTACATGGCGTTAAAATGTATCATCCAACTCATATTCTCTCAAAATAGATAAATTTCCCCCCATCTCCATGCTTAATACTTTGTAGCTTTGATCTAATTCTCCTAAGGGTTGTTAGAGTGGAGAGGTAGGAACACAAACACTTTGAATCCTATAGCTAAATAAGCATGGTTGTCCCAAAAGTGTTGTGACACCCAGGGCTGTCTTAAGCATATGCAGTGCTGGGGTGCAAAAATCCGCCTGGTGCGCCACCATCCTGGTTGCCCAGTCCCAGGCATGCAGGAAGGTGGAGCTGGCCAGCCGCCTCAGCATCTCACTGGCTTGGTTGTCCCCGAACTCGTGGCGCAGAGCCGCCTGCAGCAGGAGAGCCCAACCGACAGGCAGGGTCTTCCCCGGACTCAACTTTCGGGCCCCGGACTCTTGACCTGGCGCCCCTGAGAGCCCGGCGACTGGGTGCCCCGCACCCCTAGTTCCTATGGGTAAGATGGCCCTGGTCAAACATTGTGAGTGGAACCTCCATCTAAATCTGCATTGGCTTTCATGCACATTAACAATTCCATTTGAATTCTCATCTGTACTGACGTGGCAAAAATGGCAAAAGCAAAAAGAAAAAAAGAAAAAAGGGGGGGGCTCAAATGTGTTTCATCTAGCCCAGTTCAACGTATTTTTATGTGGTGAACCACCCTGTGATCTTCAGATAAAGGACAGTATGCAAATATGATAATTTAAAAAAATGATTTGGGTGGAGCTTCCTTCTTTGCAAAAACAACAGCCTTTTGCGCACAAACTTTCATTGGCAGCAATCTCTGAAAGCAATGGACTAAGGATGTAGTTGGCATATAAAACACATGTATAAATATGGTAGGGGCTGCTGCCCCTACTTGGGTTGCTCACCAACCCTGCCAAAGTGAAGGTCCTGCATTGGTGCCTGGAAGTGATATTGAACTGGATGTGGATCAAGAAATTGAAGTTGAATCCAAGCAAGATAGAAGCTCTGTGCTTTGGGGGTTACCATGTCTGGGATTTGGTCAGACAACATGTTCTGGATGGTATTGCACTTACTGAAGAGCAAGGGTGTGGTTTGTGAGTTCAATCTAGAGCTATCATTGTCACCTGAAGCTAAGGCAACCTCAGCAGCTGCTTAGGTTGGTCCATCAGCTACAGCTTTTTCTGGGCAGGAATAGCCTGACTACAGTTATCCAAACCTTGATAACCTCCAGGATGGACTTTTATAATACACTTTATATGGGTCTTCCAACTCTTGAAGGCTCTCCAGAATTTGCAACTAATGCAGAATGCGGTGGTGAGAATATTGATATGAGTAGCGGGGTTGTTGTGTATATAACACCCATTCTCAGACAGAAGCAACTGGTTGCCAGCTATCTTCTGGGCCTAACTGAAGGACTTAAGTGTTGGGATACTGCCAGGGAGACAAAGTCCATCATGGCCCCACGTCGATTCCAGACGTCCATCGATCTCCCGTAGACACGCAGTATCAGCAATTAGCGACACGAGCTCCAGAAATAGCTTGCCACATTCCAGAGCTGATGCACGCTCTTATCAGCAGATAATGCACAGCGAAAGATGCACGCAGGAGAGCATTATTTAAGTTTATTCAGCTTGGTCAGAACAAAGAAAAACATGACCGCCTGCTTCAGTGTTCAGGCACTGAGAGAGAAAACGAAAGCATAGACACAACAGAAACATCCTGTGAACAGGAAATACGCAGGCTGTGACACAAACATCCTGCTCCCTTTTAAGGTGGAACGGAAATATCCTAACATCAAGTTGATATCTAAAGCTCTGAATGGACTGGATCCCAAATATCTGAGAAAACACTTTCTCCTATATCTATCTGCCCACATACTAAAATCAGTGGAAGAGACTTTCCTAGTGATTCTTGTATTAATGGCCTGCCGAGTGCAGCGACCTGTGGAAGGTCTTTTTCAGTGGTGGTTTCGCATCTTTGGAATTACCTTCCCACAACTCTGTTCTTTCATATGCCTGTTGAAAACCCACCTTTTCCACCAGGTTTTTAGTGGCTAATGGGTTAAGCCATTTCAACAGTGTTTTTAAGTTATGCTGTTTATGCAACTTGTGAGAATGATGTTAATGCTTTTGTTTATTATGTAGTTTTTATTTTATCTTGTTTGTAAATATAGTGAAGGGCAGTATGTGAATATCTTAAAAAGCAAACTAATAAATGATTGTTGCACGTGCAGGTACATTGCAGTAATTTCACACATGACATGTGTGGCTGCAAAAAACCTGGTGTGGTTGCTTGTAATTCTTCAATAATATGCAAGATTAGCAAATATAAATGAGATTGCTTCTCTCTTCTCATAACTGTTTTTTAATTTTCAGATATATGTATGTGAAGGCAAGGAGACAAGGCATTAAATTCCAAATATTTGAGCTGTCAAAACATAACCACAACATCAGTATGCAGGATAGTGTGATTATTTTGTTTTCTGTTTTGTTTGTTTTGCCGTTGTGATTTGGTTCAACCCATCCTGTGCACTCAGTTAAAGACGGAAGAAATTTTAGGACTGGACCATAATATACCCATTTATGTTCGGCCAGAGGAGACAGGGAATGGAAGGAGTTGAGATGTTTCCATATTTTATTTAAGGATAACTAATTCAGTTTGTTGCTCTTTGTGATCTTGACTTCTAATTCTACAGTCACTCCCTTTGAAGTCCCTTTGTTTGATGAATAAATCTGCAATGTGAATGTAAGGTTTCCTGTGATTATTAATTTGAGAATTTTAATGAGACATAGCTGCATTATTTGATGCATATTTAATTTTTAAATTATTTGCTCTGAAGATCAAAACTAGAGAGATGTGAATGTGTCCTTTCTGACTTGCTTCTTAGAACCCCTGATGAGCAAGGTAGAAGGAAAAAAAATAGATAGTTTTCCTTCCATGACTGCAATGCAGATCTGATTGTGGGAGTGGTTGCTTGCAAACACCATGGGGTCTGTGTTCAGCCAATAACAGCCAACTCTCTCAGGCTGAATTTAAATATATGTTGTTGGTCTGAGTTGCCATTTTCTGGCTTCTAAACAGAACAAATATCACTTTTTCTATTAGCCCCAGCAATTTCTTAAGCACACTGGCAGGCATTCATCGAACAACCAGCAATGATTACTTGTAAACACTGCTAATTCTTTGGTCTAATTATACAATTGCCAGCTATATAGCCCCTTTAAACCGGAGTACTATGATTTATGCCAGTCCAGTAGGACTAGACAGGCAGCTTTCGAGTTCTGCCATGGTGATGGCTGGCTTTCACTGAGCAGGAAAGCGGAGGAGAAGAAAATGACAGAAACACAAAACAAGAGAGTGTAGCAGCCCTAACAGCTGCTTCCTGAGTATCCATGGCAATACCATCGGCACACGCAAATCACCGAGAAGACTATGCTTGCCCATGTTAACAATGTATAGACTGAGTTAATCTGCACATAGGGACAAGAAAACATCACATCACATCAGCCCACTGCACATCCTACCAGATACTGACATCACAGCTCCCTGCACTATATAAGCTGCTGAAGTGTGCAAGCAGCGAGAGCACTGTGAGAGCCTTCAGAAATTTTGGTCCATGACTACAATGATGATAATCCCTACAGGGCAGGTTTGAGGGAGTCTCAGGCAAGCTGCTCTCTCCAACACAGTACCCTTCTGCTAGGCAGCTCCCCACGTCCATGAGCTTGCTCTGTGATGGGGTGGCTGGCAGCAGAGGAAATGTGTGCTATAGCCTCCTAGCTTGGTGGAGGTCTCAGCTCTGCACCCTTTTTTGGGGTGGGGGTGGGAATAAAAGGCAGCTCAGCTACCATAACCAAGCCAGCACCGCACCCTGATATAGCAAGGCATTTCAGAGGAGGCCATGGTAGTTGCAGTGCTGGCCCTTAAAAACATGGACCCTTAAAATTAGAAGACCGCAATCCTGGCATCA